AGGGCTGCGTTCAGTAATATTAAAACTGACTTTCCAGCATAGGTAAAGTTACATATTGCACTCACATTTCCCTCAGTGGCTTTACAGTTGGTCATTTAAAATGGAGCAATTTCATTTTTTTTTTTACCTCAAATGAACAAATTCAGATTCACAAATTCCAATATTTAAAAAATTAAGCTGTTTTATCTTGTTACATTCTGTCAGTCATGTGATTCAAGAGTTAATTTTACTGAAAATGAGCGGAACACGTATTCTTGATAGCTCCAAAGTTTAAGTTTAAATTTTTTAACTGAATTTCGTTTTACCTGATTTAAAGGACCATTGTGTGGGCTTTAGTAGCATCTAGTGGCGAAGTTGCAGATTGCAACTAACTAAACACCCCTCTCGTCAGTTTTTGATGACCTGGGTTAGAAAACGGGCTGTGAAGTGTGTAGAACAAACTAGGGTGGTTGCAAAACTCATGAAAATTGGGAAAGGCCCTATCTACAGCCAGTGTAGGCAGGTTTATCCTTTTTGAGCTAAATATGGCGGTTCAACATCACAGCCTTTGTAGAAGACACACTCCCTCTGTAGATAAAGAAAGGCATACAGTTTTACAATTTCTAAACCATAAAATAAAATAGGCAAATGAAACCACATGAATTCAGCTAGATTACTTTTTTTTCAAAGTAAAATAATGCAGATGTACTTAAACTTTGATATTAAGTATTCAGTAATGCTTTTAACATTTAGGTACTCAGTTGCTTGTCAGATATATTATTATGGCTATTATTTACTTCCATATAAGTGCTTTATACTTATACTATACTATAATAATATACTATAATAAGTAGGCCTATTTATTTTGCTCAATCCATTTTTAGAGTTTTTTTTAATAGTACTCAGAAGTGTACAGGCTTTCTGTGCAGGGCATTGATTGGGCCTGTGGTTGATGTTTTCTGGAGTGCTGTCAGTACTGGGCTTCAGACAGCCATACTGGTCTGAGGCAGGGGTCAGTGTAATGTGATGGTAGGAAAGAGCTGCAGCAGATGCTGGACGCACTGATCGTTGGTTAGGGGCCATTTAGCACCAGTAGACCTGCTGCTCTAAACTGGTGACCCTACACCGTGCTCACGCTGCGGTCACATATGTCTACCCGGGTAAAGACAAGGCTCTGTGTGTGCACACAACAGAGGGCTGCACATTAGCTGCTCCCTCTCACTCCACAGTTTCACAGTACACTGTAAAACCTGACAATAATAAAATTGAATAAGCAACTCAGTTGTTTTGAGTGCAATTAAATGTGGACAATATTTTAAGTACAGGCGATATAATTCCAGTTTGTTCCATTGACTTATTTTCTTTAGTTGACTTTATATCATTAAGTGTATGCATTTTAATATAGCATAGCTTAGGATTTTTAAATTTTTGTTTTTATTTCAGTTTATTAATCATCATAAGCCCAAGTATGCATCGAAATAATTCTTAATGATCATAACATTTGTATAAACAAGAGGCATTTAAGTTATTTGATTCAAATTCTGTTAACACATTGTAAATAAGTTTGGAGAAATGCTGCACGAGTTTAACCTCAATTAACTGAATGGAATTGGTACAATCTAACTTAAACTTTAAGATAACCGATTACTTCTATTCAAATTAAATATCTTTAATGCTTAAATTGCTTGAGTGAGTTAACTGAGGTTTTACAGTGTACCTCCCCTTCATCACCTTTGCACAAACACATTTTTCTCTGCAGCTCGCTCACCAAAATCACCTGGATTGTCAAAACAAGTTTTATTGGACAAAATCTGAAAGCACAACATATATTTATGGTAAAATACATCATTTGATACTGAATTGAACATTTACAGAAATATGTATAAAGGCTCCATTTTCAACATTAACATCAGTTTACAAAAGCATTTCAGGCGAGGCATTCAAAACAATACGGATAGATAATAAATATGTACTCTCCCTTTACAAATGGAAAGAAGAGAAATTTCTCTCTTTTAGAATAAAAAAAGGTTTTCAGCATGCGTGTGTAGGCAAAAAGAAAAAGAAAAGAATGTCTGTAAAAGGATTCCAGCTTTTATCTTTTGGCACTGCGAGCCAAATATTTGTCATGTAGATATCTCGTATTGCTCCTTATGAAGGTGTGCTTAACGGGACAATCAGTATCAGTAAAGGAGACTGCTATTCATTCATGAAGCACAAATACAGATCACAGCAAAATACTCCATAAATGACTTTCACACAGTAAACCACATGACACATGCACTTTATGCTACAGGGATGAACGGGCGCGTTCATGCAGCCACAATGGAAAACAGCTCGGCCATACAGTACGTCCAATACCTACGTCGATGTTAGTCTGCAGTTTCTCTTCTGCTAATACACATTCCACCAGCAGTCCTAGAAAAGTCCAAATCAAATTACAACTCATCTCATCTATTGCATTCATTTTAACATTTTCTTATTTGGTCAAAATTGTAATTATTGTAACCTATTTTTCTGCAGTATTAGCACCCTCTCTACAGTCACCAGCTGTAATTTGATTGGTGCATCTGTGTGGGCAGCCACAGGACCGTCATGGTTTTAGAAATATAAAGGTCATGAATCCAACACCACCTCCCCAACTCATCTGATTTATTTTGTTCGTTTATATTTTCTGTCAGTTTATGAACATGAAGGTCTCCACACACGGGACTACGGAAACATTTTGGTGCCACTCCATAATAATATTAATTCTCGTAATAACATGAAAACACCTTGTTAAACTTGTTAACTTATATTGTTATAATGCAACATTATAACAATATAAGTCATAACGTGTTGTAATAATGTGTGTCATAATAACATTAAAAAATATCTTGTTATAAGAATAAACTTTTCACATTATATGACAGCGTGGCAGCAATACACTGCCATACAGGACTGAAATTCTGGTGGAGAAATACTAAATCCTCTTTTGTTCATCTAAAATTAGCCAAATTTAAACATATTCAGACTACAAACACTGGGACCAACCTACAGTGTATAGGACCCCTCCTGTGTTAGTTTTTAATTAACCCAAATTCTCCCCAAAATACAAAGTATATGACCTCAAGTGTCCTTAATGGCAGCCAGATTTGCGCTCACAGAGTAACTGGTCTGGTTATTTTCCGTCACTACATCTGGACCTCAAGAGAGACAGCTAATGCTAGCTGACAGCTTCCTTTCTATAACGCAGGACTAACAGCAGTGAGTGTGCAGCAGCTGCCAATGACTCAGCAGGCATTTAAATAACCTCATCAAAAAGTAACGTGCAGTGGGAGTCAGTGCTAAAGCTAGGCTAACTAGCTTCCATGCTATGCTAATTGAATCCTCCCAAATGTTGAATGTTGTAAAGGGACACACAGCTTGGTTGATACCTACACCATGTAAAAAACAAAAGAAAGGACAAGGTAAAAAAAGACAGCAGTGTACCACAAGTTGTCTTCTAGCTCGAGCCTTAGCCGTCATTTCAAAGAATATGTCAAAAAACATCATCCTCTTTCGCACAATGGCAGCAGTTTCATTAAAGTTTATATTTCCTCACACGCACAAAAAAATCATTTCAACTTAAATTCATAGCAAAACATCCATTTGTGTCTGAGCAAACTGATACAGTACGGGTTGCCAGATCTTCAGTCTGCTGTAAGAACAGGACTGGGAACATTAAAGTGCGCACTGTTGGCAAAATGTGCTTGGGTACATCTACATCTACAGAATTTATTACATTTCCTATTTTGCAGGGCCAAAACAAAAACAGTCGCTGGTTCTGGCTGCTGGACTGTGCTGATTGGCTTTTGGACTTTGGACAAGACAGGACCTTGGGCTTGAACATGTGATGGGTTTTTCAGTCGTTCTTGATTAATCATAATTATAATAATATAATAATAATTATAAGAAAAAATCATAATACCACAACATACAATGATATTACAGACAATAATATTCCAACTTTGTGTCAGCAGTTCGTGTTTGTCCCTTTCCACTTTCGACATAAACAAAGCTAGCCCCATAAAGAAATGGTTTTCCCAGTTTGGTGTGGGAGACCAGCCTCCACAGAAGCTTGACCTCAACCCATTCGAACACCTTAGGGATGAACCGGGCATTCAGCACTGGACCTCCCTAATGCCCTTGTATCTAAATGGGGCCAAATCTCTACAGCGGGGTTCATCATCTGGTGGGACCCCTGAAACCAGAAGATTGGACCAATGTTCTACCAGCACATTAATGTCCACGGAATGACATGATCAACTCTCACTAGGCTGGAATTTGTCCATATACTTTTGGCCATATAGTGCAAGTGTATTTTAAATCTGAGAAGGGGAATCTGAGAAGTTAAGCTTATTTTACTAAACAAAATAAAAGGTTTTGGTGTCTTCACAGTGCAATAATGTATAAAACAATCAGGTATGATATTGGCACTGGAATCTTAAATGTGGTGATAATATATTAGCCCTGATGGTTTTGGAAGTTCAGAGAAGAGCTACTGGCTCAAAAGACAAGAAGTGTTAAAATAATGAAATGGAGACACAAAAAACAAAATGTTGATTTGTTCTATTATACCAGTTTGCCAGTACGCAGGCTTGAGGCTGGCCCTTTAAATAAATCCGCACTGTGAACCTGTGATATGGATGTGATACGCAGTTTGATTGATTGCACGTTTTAAAAGGATCAATTCTACAGTGGTTCCATGCAGTCAATATTTGACATTCAGTCAGCTTGCATGAATGTTTAATGTGATTATAATTCTGTGTTTTAAGTAGAGAATTCATGGTATAAATGCTTTTTTTTTTCTTAAATCAAGGTATGCATGAAAATAGTAGAATTTAAAGATATTAAATTATTTGCATAAATTACCAGACACCGGCTTCAATAGACAAAAATGAAGCTCTGGTGCAGGAGCAAGTGGAGATCCAGAAGCTGTGATCTCCGTTCAGTCTGTTGTGCCTCTCCAGCAGCTCCTTAATAACAATCTGGATTTCCCTTTTTTTGTCCAGCAAAAGCAGCGCCTGACTACAAAAACAGTGTCTGTGGAGGAGGTTAGAGTGTTGCATGAGTCTGCGGCCTGCTCACAGCAGCGGGAACTGATACAATGTTCACGCCATGGTGTACCCGTAACTCCCACAATGCAGCGCTACCAGCAGCCGGTCTCTCAGGACCTCCTGGCTCGGGTATTCTGGGAGCTTCAGCATGTTGATGCTGCAGAGAGGAGAGAAACATCGGTCAATCCAGTGGGCCGCTGCGGTCACGACGACTCAGATTCAGCCAGTAGAGGAGTGCTGATGTCTCATACCTATCCCAGACACAGACCTGCAGGCATATTAAGGACCTGTTGCACACTTCACTATACAGAGAGCTCTCCCTGTTTAGTGTGTGAGGACGCCACTACCCAGAACACAGAAGAGACATACTGCCCTCTAGTGCTTTGTAATATCTGTAATATCTGTCCCTCAGTTGAGGCTGTAGAGTACTGTACTGGCTGTGTCTGTTTATTCACTCTTTAAAGACAGGGATCCTTACAGTGCTAAGTTTCTTCCTGTGAATAACAAAACTATAACTTTGGCACTACTGTTGAGCATCCTAGCCAAAACAATGGGAAGAACCAGGGCAGGAAGTTGAGACCCGAGTCCAAATTAGGATAGATTTGTCATGTAGTTATTCAAGTACTGTTTGCATAACAGAGTCAACTGACTTAAGAAACAAACCTTCCGTCCTATACTTCCCGATAACATCCTAAAAAGATCATTCTAAATTCAGTTTCTGGAAATGTAATTTCCCAACAATTGTAGGGAAATGGAGACTTCAATTAGTACACTTCCAAATAATTCATTCCAATTAACTAAGAGTAAACTACTTTTAGTTTTTTAGTCACTAAATATGCAATGACATTTGTTTACATGTAATAGGGTTGGATATCATAATTTGTATTTTTCTGATATTGGTGTTAAAGTAATACCGTACCGGCGTCTAAACGGTGTAAACCAATACTTTAAAAACAAAAGCTGCTGTAAATTTGAAATTGAAATTGAAGACTGTATTAACTGTTAATGGTTTAAAGCAGGGGCCTCAAACTCCCACTGGCTTGGGGCCAGTGCTGCTATTGTCATTTCATAGGAGGGCCACTTCAACATTCAGGTAGATTAATATAAATTAGGGCTGCACGGTATGGTAAAATCATCAAATTGTCATTATTTTGACAGATATTACGATGATAATTGAAATTATGGTCTAAAGAAATGATGAAGCAACTACTATTTATATCTACGCAGCCCATCTCCAGGGGACGCCCACACTGCCGGCTGGCAGTTGGGCATGGTGCCTCCATATGCTTCCCCACTTCCCAAGCAATTGTTTTAAACATTTGTTGAACGTCCCGCCCGGTATTGGAATCCTTTTGAGTAAAATACAGCTACACTTTAGAGTTTAGTTCAGCTCTTTAACTGTGTTTAAGGTAGCTAGTAACTAACGTAGGGGTAGGCTACCTGCTGCCAGATCCATGTAGAGTGGGCGTAATGTTAACCAGCAATAGCACATGTGCGGTGGTGCCTCCATTGCCTGTAACATCAGCACCAGAGAGCATCTATTTCAACAGACTGCTCTGGTACCGAAATGTGGCACCGACATCTGCGTTGTGATTTGGCTAAATAAAAAGCCAACTGGACTCAGTTCAGGGAGAAAATACTGACACAACAACCACAACAAGTCAAGGATAATAGAATAAATATCTTAATATAGCAAGAGCAGACTGACATGAACAGAACTAAGTCAACAGTCATTACCAGGTACTAGAGGTAGGCAGTAGGTTGGAGGTGTATGGCACTGCAGCAATGGTGAACTTTTGTAAACCGCTGCCACCCATCAGGTAGGCAAAGCCACCATGAGGAACCCTGGAACTGACAGAGAAGGACACTTTACTACAAGAGACATTCACTTGTATCTCTGTATCAAGAACCGCAGTGGGAATCCAGCAGACCAACCTTCCAGTGACAAACTGAAGCAGAAGAACCCGTTCCTCCTGGGTCAGGCTCTTCACCACCTCCCAGAACCACTTCAAAAAATGCACACACATTAGCTGATGGCCAACAGGAAGAGATTCTTACAATAACAGATAATTACTTGCTTCTCAGGCAGGCTGGTCTACTTACCAGCAACGTGACTCTGTAAATGTTGAGTACCCAAAAGTTATTTGTTTAATGTAGAGTATGGGTCCGCAGAATTCAGAAAATCTGACATTTTTAAACAGCTGTTTAAACTAGAAGTGACCATATTTCAACTCCTGGTAGCAATGCATTATTTTCTTAATGCAATGCAGAGCAATTCAAGTATTTGATAGGAATTTGGAATGGGCAGATAATCTGTGTTAAATTGTGCTTATCCAACTGTATCTGTGATTTATTGCAATTCTTGTACGATTTTCTTAAATAGCAATAAAAAGACCTTGTAGTAAAGTGTAAGATGACTATAAGTGATATGGGGCTGGAAATAATATTCACTGTTCCAGATAGGTATGAACACAGTGAATGAACATATGAAGGAGGATGAAGCCCTGCTTGGGTTATATCCAGGTTATGGCACATTTTATAATTCACAGTTTCAAAAGTGAAGCAAAGCTTGATGAATAAAAGATGTGTGTAAACTCAGAGTCACGTATAGTGGTAAAGATCAAACGAGTGGGCACATCTGGCTCTCAAACTATATGCAGAAGTAAAGACTGAGGAAGCAGAAAGGAGCCTGATGTTTTACCTGCTGTCAGAAACATATAGTCTGATGACACACTGCATCACTTATGGCATACATTATTCTGCTCTTGTGCTGCAAAACTATCCAGGAAACTATCACTCTTCTTTATAGTCCGACGTTTAAAGCATTTATCATCAGTCAAACAAATGAGGTATAGCTCGGTTAACGCTGCTTTCCTTCAATTCTTTTCAAACTAATCCGTGGTGAGGTTTTTGGAGAAACCGCCGAGTAACTGGGTCACTGGGAACCCGGACGACTGAAGTGAAACATAATTGTTTGGTCTTGAAGGATTCGGTGCGTGTTGCGGCTGGGAGAAGAAGAGCCCACCTGGATGACTGGCTCCTGAGGGTCGTAGCCACTGGTGTACTCAGTGTTCCTGCACCAATCCTGCACATCGATCTCTGGCATCCCTGACAGCAGGAGCTCCTGCACACACACACGAACGACACAGGCGGACATCACACCAACACATATCACACTACACATAACACCACCACAGACACATCACATACGCACTCTCACACACCACACTCTACAACACCACCTACACTATCACACACACATCACAACACCTATCACTTTAGGAAAAATTTAGTATATCTTACATAATGCATGATGAAATTAGGGTTACACATACTGCCCACCTCTGATACAATGAGTATGATACAATTTGAGTTGTACACCGGTTGTCTAACAGCTCTTTTTGCCTTTATGGTACTGATTTCAACACCTCATCTCAGAGTATATACTGACACTGGGTCCCAAGCCTTTTCTCACATTTAAAACCACAGTGCAAAACTCATTTATTCCTTCTATTTTAGTGATTTCAAGTTCTTGTACGGTCTCTGCTGCAAATTATGTGAGTTTAATAAGGAATAAATCCCAATGGACCCTTTGGAACATGGAATAAGTTTCAAAATGGAATCGGAAGGAGGGCTGGGTGGTTGAGGTTAGGGCTGCTTTTCATTACTGATCAATCTGTCGATCATTTCCTCCATTAATTGATTAATCGTTTTTTGGCGCAGAAAATGTTGAAAAATGTTGATCCCAAGTTGACGTCCTCAAATGACTTGTTTTGTCCACAACCCACACATATTCAGTTTACTGACACCAGCAAATATTCACATTTAAGAAGCTGAAAAATATGACTCAAAAAGATTGATTATCAAAATAGTTGGAGATGAATTTAATAGTTGACGACTCATTAACCCATACCAACAATATGTCAGTAATGATATGTTATACTGATTTCTCTACCTCTTTAAAAACCACTCACAAATATATTGTTTTAATTTCAAAAAGGCTCAGTAGTTTGCTCAAACAGCTGCTCACTGTAGTTTTTTATCAAATGTTACTGAAACAGGAGGGAATAGAGGCTTTGTAGGGGACTATTTTCAGCGGTGGATTAATATACATTTGGTGCAGTAGTGGGGCAGCAGGACAGTGTGTGGGAAGTCCAAATAAACGACAGTGTGTGTTGGTAATGAAGGAACATGTCACACAGTGCAACTATAGCTCGGTGGCACAAAGGAAGAAGATCAGGCTTTGATACACACAGTAATTGTTAGATACGTTCACTGTTGGTTTAAGTCACATTAGATTAGTTGACAGTCTGAAGGATAAAGAAAACTGAAAGTGAAGCAGCTGTTGTGCTGCTGTCGTCAGTTGCCCTGCAATGACAGCATGACCGAGGCATGTCCAACAAATCCAGGGTGGGATAATCATCGTGCTCCGCTATTGATCCCCGCAGGAGTGAGGACATGAAATCTGCCGACACACACAGAAAAAACCCTCTAATGGAGTTGGAGAAGAGGGAGGGGCTTCAAGGTGACCCCATCCCCCACCCAACCCAAACATGGCTAATCAATCCCTGCATCAGAGCCGAGCAGGCGGGCAGGCCAAAAGGGAACAAGGAGAACTGTAAAGACAATGGATGAGAGGAGGAGGAGGAGGAGGAGGAAAAGTAAGGAAGGACAGGGAGGTTGGAGGAGGACGACGACTAACCAATTCGTATTCGTCGAAAAGCTGGATGAGTGAGGCGGGGATGAAGGTGTGGAATCCTTGAAGGAAGGCGTTTATCTGAGGCTGGATGGCTCGCGTCATCCTCAGCTCCGTCACCAGCTGGACGTACTCGGCCTGACACACACACACACACACACACATCAAAGTCCTTAAAAAACACAGATGGACAAGAGAAAGAGACAGAGCTCATACATAGTTATTCTTTTTGCTCCTGTTGGGACTGTTCTCTGCTTTACAAGACAGTGCCATCTGCAGGATTGCTGCAGTACTGCACTCTCTAATTGTCTTCCAGGCAATAAGTTGGAGGAGAGAGATCAATGGCTCATAGAAGACCGACTATAGATGAATATACTAGAGGAGAACTCATTAACACCACCTTCAGCCATACTGCTGCAGCAGGATGCCACAGCAATACTCAACTCAATGTCCAATGTTCTTATCAGACTTTCAACAGACCAAATCTAAGTACTTTACTGGAATTATATTTGAAATGAAAATACTTTAGGAAAAAGGGGACTTTTGGAAGATTCGAACTAGAGTAGGGTGATATGGTTTAAATTAATAACAGTATTTCTTTAGATCGTCATCATACGGCACACAAACTCACATATAAGGATTGTTAAATCACCAGTCTCCATATTGGTTTTTGTTCAGGCCACTTATCTCAGGCCAGTATCTCAAAATAATGACTTAGTATTACAAAGTCATTATTTTGAGATACCATGTCATTATTTTGACAAAGTTTCTCATTATAANNTGTCACATTGGCAGAAAAGGGCTTTCATAGATTTGTGCTGTTCACACGGTTATAAAATAAACAGATCCAAGTCACATATGAGCAAAAACACTAGATTTGGGCCACTTATGCCAGCAGTGTGAATGTGATTCAGTTTGATCTCTAATCACAGACAGACACTAGTGCTCTGCCATGTTTAGACTGATTTAATCTGACCTTATTCTGCCATGACCAACATATATGTAACACCAGGAAACCTTAAACTTATAACTTTATTAAAGAATTTCTATAAAAGGATATAAAATAAAGGTTTTCCTCGGAGCACTGAGCTTTCTCCTTCTACCAAACAAACAAGTTCTTGCGTTATGTTGATACTGGGTGACTTGATGCCACTCACTGGTTTTGACTGACCTTGTTGTCCTGGGTGACCAGGATGCTGGTACCTCCGGGTTTTAGCGGCACTTCCTCCATCGCCCCGAACACGTCAGTCTCTACAGAGAAGGTGAGCTCCAGACCCAGATCACTGATGTCGTTGTCCAGGATCCACTGCAGGTTCTTGGCATACTCTGGGTCGATGGACGACACGTCCTGATAGTTCACCGGGATGCCTGGAATATACACACACACACACACACACAACACACACACACACACACACACACACACAAACACAATTAAATATAGTACAGGAGAGCATGAGTGCTGAATCCAAGACAAGCTAAACCTGAAGGAAGACAGATACATAATGCTTAAAAATGTCAGCCAAATGTTAATTAAAATAATATAAATATAATATAATATATATATAATATATATAAAAAATTAAATACTATATTATATATTGTTTATAAATTACGAAGTAAACGCGAAGCAAATATTTGCTTCACTTTTGGTGGGAACGCACTATAGACTTTGTAACATAAAGAGGCTCTATTGGCAGAAATGGAATAACTACATTTTCATGTATAACACCTGATATATCGTTTTTTCGAAAGCTGTCATTAAAGAAGTTGTCAAATGATGCTGCTGCTATATGTCAAGGGTTTCCACATAGGGCAAATTCTGTATATGAGTGAACAGAGGAGAGTTCAACCAGTTGATGGATTCTCAGCCTACAAAATATTTCATCTCTTATTCGTATTTTATTCAAGATTCCCTTGACCTTTGGGTGATGTAAACTGTAAAATATAATGTGGGCCCTGGAGTCAGGAGCTGTTCCTACTGCAGAAAATGTTCCTGCTTTGTGTGTTGGATCTGTGAGGACCAGATCTGAAGGTATCAGAGTGTTTTTATATATTTCTCATCAACTATTCACACGTGTCGGTCTGACTTATCTACACACAGGCCTGCATTCTTACCCATATGTGTTGATAGAAGGACGGGTGAAGTAGATGTTACCAGCTGTCGGTGTTACAGAGCCAGACCCAGGATGTGACCTGCAAACTGGAAGTAGTTCAGGTGGTCCGGGTTCACTGGAGAGTTACTGTTGGGCTGAAAGTGGTACCTGTAATCACACACACACTTTCATTTAAATGATAAAAGTTCTGCTTAGTCAGTTGACAATGTTGATACAGTGAGGAAAACTGTCCCGTACCATCACTGTTACGTGAACAAGAGCAAATTCTAGGTTGATTGATCTCATTGATCAGATGTCAAACCACTCCGAACACACCCTGGCCCTGAAACACAGAGGACCACAGAACAACTCACTGCTTTAGACTGAATGAGACACCTGACTGGATTAATTCTGATCCAAAACTCATGCAGTTGTTATATGACTTAGAAACCCACATCCCCTCCTCGCCATGGAAACGAACAGCGATGCCCTGTTTAAGTTTCTCATGGTGGACTTGGATACCATCTCACAGCACTCCTGAATATGGGAGGTCTGTTAGTTGATAGAGAAAAACAGAGTGAGTTACTATAAAAAAACTTGAATCCCGAGACATGTATTAATACGATCCAGGAACCTTTCCAGGATGATTTCTGCTCACAACGGTCATATAAGTTACTGGTATTTGTTCACATAAGCGTTGTCCTGGACTTAGCTTATCTACCACGCTGAGGAATTCTCGCCACACTGATTTGGCAGGTTTCTCTACTCATTTTCAAATAAAGTAGAATTATTTATCTTACTATTATCATTTCTTCTAGAAAGTGAAAGTGTT